CCTGGATTATTATGCCGTACTACCTGCCTCATGCTGCGACCAGTGGTCCAAGGGTGACAGTGCCGATAAAACGTGCTACGAATGGGAGGTGAGGCACCGGGAGGGCTGTATGGATAAAGTGGAGAATATCATCCGGAATTATCTAGGTGGCATAGCCGGTGTGGCTATTGCCTTGGTGCTAATTGAGTTGTTGTTGATATTTAGCGCGTGTTGTTTGGCACGTGAGGCTAATAAAGGACAATAAATAATAATGTTCAATTTAAAATATTTTGTCTATTTGTGTAGTTTTGTTTGTATATATAATTTTATTATGTTTAGAGTTTATAATTTTGATACAGTATTATTACGTTAGTTTAATTAGATTAAATATATGTTATTTTTGTATAATTATAATCATGTGTTTGATGTGTTTAAAATTTTAATAAAATGTTAACATGTTTGACATTAATAAATAACTATAAGTCGGCCTTTATGGTAATTAATATGTTAATAATTAACTAATTATTTTGATAAATAAAATACAATTGCATGATAATTAATGTATTAAATTCTGGTAAAATAATTACAATCATTATTAATAATAGTAATGTGGATAATCATTAAATTGACTAAGCTAGTACTGTATTTAATATAGTAAATAAATAAAAATAATATTTTCTAATTATGCAACCTATTTTATAATTCTAATTTATTTTGAATAAATGCAATGAAAAAATCATTTTCATTGGATTTCAGCGTATCTATTAATAAATCCAAATCGTTTGTATCAAGCTCATTTTTCTCAATACTCCACTCATTATAATCTCGCAGAACTTCCGAACATTCAGGTCTTTTATTCCATACCGGGGTCGACAGCATTAGTAGCAATAAGTTTTGCAACTTAAATACTTTTTGATATAATAAATGGTTTTCTGGGTAGCTAAATACCAAGGTGATACATAAAACATTTATTAATATAACAGTTAAGAATTTTATACTTTACTAACCTATTGGCCCTAACATTAAATAAATCAAGATCAAATATTTCACCACCAATTAGAGCCAGGGAATAAATATCCGATTTATGACCGTACGCTACTCTACCATGACCAATTTCAGGTGCCCTGTACAATATCGTACCCACTCCGCATGTATGCTTAAATGATGTATCATAATTAACATCTTTGTCGTGCATGGTAGCTAGGCCAAAATCGCATAACTTAACGAATCGATTGTTTCGGATCGTAACTAATCAGGATGTTTTCGGGTTTGAGATCCCGGTGAATTATCTGTGGACTCAATTCATGCAAATACTGAACGCATTGTAAGAGTTCACGGAATATTTCACACGATATGAAGTACTCGTAGGCATTCATGGGATCTCCTAATTGACGGCCAAATACTTGCGGTTTGATTTGCAGAATATTTCGCAGGCTTTGCGAACAGTACTCCATCTGAATGTAGAGATGTGTGCCGTCGGACCACGAGTTGTAGTATTGGACCACATATTCCGATCGCACTTTCACCAGACTTTTTAGTTCGTTACACATTTTAGCTTGGTGCTCGTCAGAGATATCTTAAAATTAAAAGTTAAAAATTGATATAAATTAACAATCATGTCGTATTTAATTTAAAACCCCTTACCCATTATTTCGATCCTTTTCACGGCATATATCTCATCATCAAATTTATGACGTGCTTTAAATACGGTGCCAAAACCGCCAGTGCCAATTTGGGATAACTCATTGAATAAAACATTGTAAATGTTTTCATGTTTTACGGGGTTCATGCTCAGTTTGGTATCTTTGATAGAAATATTTAAAATATTTATTACTTAAATAAGTAAATTGATAATTTAAAAGTTACCGCTAATTTCAAGTTGAGGGACAGTAGTTTCAATATTTTGCGAACCATTTACAATAACCGTGGTCACAGAAATTTGCAATTCACTTGCATATAATTCATCAAATGTTTCATGTTTGGTTTTTACACAATTTGATTCTAATATCTGATAAATAATGTTAGTTTTATCAGACTTTGCAGCTAGCACAACTTTGCCAAATAAATACGAATATCCACGTTTGAATTCCAAATAGGTCAGGTCATCAAATTTAAGCATGCTGGTATCATTAAAATTATAAAAATATATCATCCCTGTAGTGGTTAAAAAGTAGATATCATTGTCAATACAAATATCTCTTATAGGATAATCCACATTGCTCATTAACTCTGGCCTATGTATTATTTTAGCATGTTCATCCTTTTCCAATTTTACGCCCCATATTAGACCCCAATAAAGTACCTGACCATCCGATGTAATGGCAAATGTAGTACAATAATTACAAGCAATCTTGGTAATATTATATTCGTTCGTAAACAATATCTTAGATGGCCTTGGTACAGAACTTTCATGTAACCCGTTTCGTTTACCAAGACCTAGCTGTCCAAACTGATTACTACCCCAACCGTACACTTGTTGCCGATTATCATCATATATGATAACAATTGTATATAACATTCCGCAGCATATTTGTTTCACCTTGATATCATTCGACTCAAAAAATGATATAGCACCAGGCTTAGAATACCCGGAAATAGTATGACCATGTCCGAGTTGTCCATAATCGTTGCTTCCCCAACTATAAACATTGTGCATGCTATTTGTAGCTAGTATAAAGTCTTTGCCATTATAAAATTGGTTGATGCCCAGGTGACTCAATTCAGGTATCTCGATTGCTGAATGAACAGTCGTGTTGTGGCCTAACCCGAGCTGACCCGCGCTATTAGTGCCCAATCCGAAAACCTGGTCATCCTTTGTAGCAAACAATATGTTATATCCGATAGAGTCGTCGAATACGAAAAACAATTGTATGTCTTGTTTCATATTATTATCTATTTTGTCGCAAATGTCATACTTGGTGAACACTTAAGCATAAAAATATTTTAAAATTTAATAAAATTATAAAGTTGACATAAAAAAGTAAAATTCAAAAAATGGATTTACAAGTGTTAAAAAATGACTTAAATTTTAGAAAATAAACTATATTTAAGTTGTTAATAATTATTAACATTACATTTTAGTTCTAAATTTATGAAAATAGTCTATTAAAAGTTAAATAACTATTTTCATAAATCTAGAACTAATATGTAATTCAATTATCCATATTATTAAGCATTATATATTTTATGTTACCATCATTGTTTTGGATATGTGGTTGATGAACACTACCAGGGTCACATTCAATTGCGGTTAATGTTACTCCCAATGAGGTAATGTAGAAATCTTGGAAACTTGTACAATCTGATTCACGGACATCACCAATGTTCACTATATGATAAATTTTATCATCGGATAATCCAGTAAGCCAATATTTACACGTTGAATGTGAAAACAACAAGTTTAAATAGATTCTTAAATAATTAATAAAATTTTAAGTGAATTTCAAAAACATGAACTGAACTATTTAATATAAATTCAATATAAAACATAAAATAGTAAAATATTTTTTATATGTTATAAAATGAATTTCACTTTGATAAGTAACTTATTTATTGAATTATTGTGTAAGAATAAATGTTTTTATGTGTTCACGTTGCACTATTAATTGATAATGAATAATCTCTAGAAAAATAAATATTGTTATTGCAAAAACATGATAATTTCCAAGTAATTTATATAAAATATTTAGGTGTATATTATATCTACAATAGTAGTCTACAGTATGTAGTTTATATTTGTAGGCTATTAATTATTTATTATATACAGTAATTTTGCAATATATACATTATGTCTATTATTGGTCATCAAATAATATTTTATATAGAAATTATAATAATTATAACAATGCATAATAAATAATTTTTAAAAAATAAAAAGCAACATTAAAAGTTATTTATTTTATATTAATATACTCTTTAAATAATATTATAAAATTATACAAACAATTAGTGCAAACTAATACAGCCTGATACATTTTGTTTAAATAATAAACTACGGCCAATTAATGTGACTATTTAATTAGTATTTATATTATAATTTCATAAATTATTCAAATAATCCTGCTAATTCATTTAAATAGTTTACTTTTACATTAATTTTATTATTATGTAAGTTAATTAAATCACATAATATATTACTGTGTAACGGTACCACAGCTTTTAGTCCAGGTAATATATTTAGCAATACATTGAATAGTGATATATCATTATATATATTACAAATATACTCCGTAAAAATATATTTATAAATACCCCTGTACCTTGATACTAAATCTTTATTTTGAACATCACTGACATCTAAATAAAAAATATTAAATTCTGAATTATATTTGGGTTAAAATACCTATCAATATAAGCACATACCGTTAAATAGGATTATTACAGATAATAGAGCATGCTCCTTTGTATTCATATTTAGTTTATTAATATATTTTAATAAATCAAAATACCGATCCCCAATAGCACCAAATCCTATATTTCGAAAATCATCCCTGTTCAGTTTAGGCCAAATAATTATTTTATCTTTACCAGGGTCATAATATCGCGCATTTATCAATAAAAATAATTCTTGATAATATGACTGTAAATAAAATATTTAATTAAATAATTTAAATATAAACATATATAAAAATATATACAACATATTTAAATATATTTATATTAAGCAAATTAAAATCATGATTTTTTATCTTATTTAATTTTCAAATAATAAATACTTTTAATAAAAACCATCTGATCGTCCCTGGTGAGTTCATAAAGTCCAGGTACTTTAGTTGCGAAATTAAGGCTAGCACTCATACAATTGACCATTGTACATTTAAGAAATTGCAATTTTAAACCTTGATAATTTTTATCCAATTGTGGCAAATCAACCAGGTTTTTAAAATTCCAATCGCCATGAAATACCTTTTTCCATTTTGTCGTAAGTTTTCCTACATCTACTGAATTGACATGTTGTTTAAGGTAGATTGATCTAGGCATCTTATTGATTTGGGAAGATATAATTTTGCTTATATGAGCCAGATTCAATTGTGATTGTGATACAGGGTGGCCCACTATGAGGCAACTAATATCATCTGAATTCACTTGATAATTATCAGCGTTGCTGTCATTAATAGCAGTATTTTCCGCAAGGTTAATGGACAGTAGATATTTTCTAATGGATTTATTTGTTCGAGTATCATGGCCAAATGAATTATAATAAACATTTTGAAATAAATTGTTAAAATAATCATCTAGGAGCTTTATAAACATTGTTTATTTATACTCAATTCACTGGGTATTTTTAAGATACAATAATATTTTAAAATAAAACACACAATTTTATATACATAATATTATTGTCACACATAGTTAAAGATACTATTAATAGCCTCAGAATATTAATTAAATAAATATGACCTTTGTTTAACTGTAAACATAATGTTATTTTAGGTTTCATTAATGATCATGTTGTTATTCAGTGGTTGCATGTTTTGTTTCAATTAACTATTTTTATGCTGAACATAAACTTAATTTGACATACTAAAGTAGTTGTGTATTAGTGCATTTATTATTGATTTTTATATTAATTTTAATATATTGAACATTTATTTTTAATAATAATACAAGCAAGCAACATTTCAAAATTGAATAACAAAACTTAATTTATTGAAATTGTTAATAAGTCGATCAAAATATTATTAATTTAACGAGCTTTTTAAAAAATATTTAATTGCTAATGAACAACACAGTGTACTTATAAAACTCATTTATAATACACATTGAATTATTATACATTCTTCAATATTCTGAATAAGTTTTGTCGTTAATTATATTTTGTTAAAAATATTTTGAATCAATTAAATATTATTTTAAATGAAAATACAAAATTTTTGTATCTGTTTTTGACATGTTATAAAAAATATCATGGTCACATTATGCTTTTATAAATTTTTAATGTTAGCTTGTTTCTATAGAAATTCTACATAATTTGTAGATTTAAAAATAATTCAACAATTCCTGTCCACCCATTGGTTGGGATACTTGTGACGTAACCAATCGTTACGACTGTCCATACATTCGGTGTCCGAAAGGATAGTATGGTTAGGATTCTGCTGTAGGAATGCCTCATAAGTCGACTCCTCGATGAACTTCAGGTGATTATACGTGATATCGAGGTCGACGGGACGGTTGATACCACTGAACACCTCTTTACGGAGGGTATGATTGTTGAGGTTATTGCGAAAGAAGGCCAACCATAAGGGCTGATCAGTGGACACGTGACTGACAGCAAACGCCTCATCGCCTATATCTTTGACGTGACCGTCGATATGAATGGACTCTACTTTTGTCAGGTTTTTGAAGGCATTACTACCGATACTCGTGAGGGACGGATTCACCGCAATCTCAATCCATTGGAGACTTGGGTGCGATTGTAGGGCATTGTCGGGTATCTTGGTCAAATTAGTATACTCGAGGTCAACCAAATTTAAATTAGGCGCAAGGTTAATCGCTTTAAATAGGTCCCAATCCCCGTCCCCGTCAACAAGCGGAGAGTAAATTCTTAGACTTTCTAACGTATTCTGTGTTCCATTGAAAGCGAAGCGATGCACCTTGGTCAAAGTTTTACCATGTAACTCAACAGCTTGAAATGTGATGTCAGTGAACACATTAGCCGGCAATACGTCCACCGCTTTGTTAAATAGTATGAAAAAGAGGTAATCTTTTTCATCGGCTTTTAATTCATGGCTCAATTTCTGAAAAAGGGCCGTCAGATTGACTGGTTGGTCACCCTTACACTCGATGCTTCTGTATTTGGGCAGTATGATAAGATCAACAAGGCATTCACATGGTAGACATATATCAGGGTTAGGTGGACACTCATAATTGGCTAAGATACCACCGAATATTGTCAATAATGTGACA